TGTACTAGGTCCTGATATATATAAACATTAAAGAAATTAAGACAGCATATAAAAAAATATACACTGAAATAACTTAGGTTTCTGTTCTTTCCAAGTGCTGATGCGGTTATAGATGTTTTATTTTTCTAATGTCAGGAAGTTACTCAATCTGTTCCTTCCATGTACTGATGAGTTTCTAGATATCTTGTTCTCCTAATGTTTGGAATTTGAAATTATTAGCTTTTCTATTAGTCTTTTTTTAAGACTAAAAAAAATTGTTTGAAATATCACCTTCGCTTCATTGTAGATTTTGAGTACATGCTCGCAGAAGTCACGAGAATTGCGGGACTTTTGACAAAATTTTAAGTGTGTGACTGTGCCGTTCAGTTATATTTATACAGTAAGATGTATGCATAAAATTATCCTGTGTCCAATGGCCAAAGTAAGTTTGGAGCCATTAACAAACATGATCATTACACAGGATGTATACATACAGATGTCAAGTGCGATTTGATTACCTAGACAAATACCTTCTCCTTCTCCCCCTCCCCAAAAAAAAACAAACAACAAAGACATTGACTTTTTTTTCAGGGGTAGTAAAATTTACAGTTTCATACTTTTTTAACCTCCCTTTTGGGGGATAATAATCTTTACACTATCTAACTTAGCAAAAACATAACCTAGGGAAAAAAGTATTTAAACTATGAAGAACTAAAGCATTTAAATCCAACATGTCTGTCGTATCTCAGTCGGCTTAATGAGCCCTGATGTTGGGTGAAAAGTCTCGTCGGCATTGGATATGGTACTGTGGTTGACATATTATAATACATTCTCCTTTGCTTTTACTTAGAATATAATTGTTAATATACTTACCTATAGAATGATATGCCACCGCTTCAGAATGTGTATTAGTTTGTTCATTTAAGTGCTAAGGTGAGAAATTGACTGCCTGCACTGTGGCCACCGCAGGGATCGAACCCCTTAGTTTAGCGTCATAAACAATCGAGCTGATTGCTGAGCCACCATAGTGCAAAAAAATGTTTAATGTTTAATGTTCAATTTTAACAGAATACTGTGTCTAAAAAATATCAAACTTTATACACTTATATAACCTTATGAAAATTAAGCAAAAACTAAATTAAAAGACAAATCCAGTTTGAGCACTACAGAGTGCAACAGACTAGAAAGTCTTAAAGTTTTACTTAAACATATTGTTTTGGATTATACTATATTTTAAAAAATTTATACCACTATTAATAAGTAAAAAAAAGGCCCAAAATCTCTTCAAACCTGTAGCTCACGCCCAAATCATAGAATTTGCTTTTAGCTAGTTTTAGCCAAACATAGAAAACTTTAGATTTGCTGATGAATACCAAAAAATATTGATATCTTTACCAGTAAAAACTGCTACTGAATACCAATATTAACATACAATGTTTTGCAGAGCTTGGCATCACTGTCTAATTTTCAAGTTACTTATAGTTACGAGAACATACTCAGAAACTGCCATCAAAGAGTTCGTTGTTTACTCAGAACTTTAGCTGTGAGCCGTTCAAATTTTTCTTAGTTTCAGTTATACATGTTCAGTCCAAAAAGAACAACGTTTAAACTAGAATAAAGTAAACAGTACATATAAAACCAATGATCAGTCTTATTTATGGAAATAGTATGAAACTCACAGTTACAACGAATTAAATATTGTCATACTTATATTACAGTTTCGTTTTGAGTTTACTTATTGATTAATTATATTTTATTACAGCTTACAGCTTTTAAAGTAAGTAAGATTTATTTTTAGAACAGATACGACGTTTGGATCACTGGTGCGATCATTCTCAAGCACATAAGTTTCAACAGTAAAGAACGTTTTAGTATTTAAATCAACATTCAACAATCTAACAATATTTATATTCTAGCATTGACAGATTATTTATGGCTAAACAGAAAAAATAAACTAACTAAAAGTGAATAAAAAACAAAAACTATGGAATATATTATGCAAAATATTTGCATAAGATAACGAATGTGTGCATGGGCGTCCGCAGAAATTTTTCCAGGGGGGTTGTTATTTGTTA